TCACCATCTGGGGTAATTTGAACCCACCAGTTCTCTTTCTCAAGAGGAAATCTGAAGAAGCCAAACTCAAAAGGCTTCATCTGGTGTGATTCCACAGAGCTAGAGAACAGATCCGTGGTTGCCAAGGGCTAGGAGATGAGGGGAGGAGCTGACCACAAACGGGCACAAAAGAACTTCGGGGGGATGATGGAAATGTTTTATATTGTAATGATCATAGCCTTTACACAACTGTACACATTTGTCAAAACTCATTTACTCGCACGCTTAAAATTGGCAGATTTTTACCGCATGTAAATTACATCTCAATAAAGCTGATTTAAATATATATACACTTTTTTTTTCCACAAAAGGGTGCTAGCTGATATGTCTTGAGCTAAAATTTCCATTATGTAGCTGCGTTGCAGTAAACCCTCAAACCAGAATCCCTGGGTTGTTCATCCTTCCCTGGGAGAAGATTCCCGCAGGCAGCCACTTCAGGCTGGCAACACCCAGGCCGGGTGGCCAGAGGTTTTGAAGGGAATCTTCATGCAAATACTTCTGTAGCCGTTTTGGATTAAGGAGCTGATTGCTAGGGTTACCTTGACTTCCTGCCTCCCTTCCTGAATCTTCAGAGGTCATACTGTGTACTTGGTAGAAACATTCATCTGGAAAATTGCCTAGAGCCAGATTAAATATAACATCACTGTGTTTAACGTCTATCTCACATGACATACCTGTCTTTATCTTCATATCTCGTTGCATTTTGAAGGCCATACCTGTCTCTGTGCTCAGCCCTGGAAAATAGGGGGAAAAATTCTTGCTAAAAATGCTGAATACTGTAGCTACCACTCACCTGAAAAAGCTTGGCCTGGACTACAAATGAGCCTTTCAGTAAGACTGCCCTAGCCTAACTTGTCTGTCCTTCCAGCTCTAGGTCACTCGTGCTCTGATACATCCTTTTTGGTAAAGGTATTTCTCTCTTCCAATATGGCTTTCTGTACAAGACGTCCTGTCTGGGGAAGATCTGGAGGCTTCTGACCCATGTTAATAGCTCAATTGGAAAAGGAACATAAGCAACACAAATATAGTCCTCACATTGGAAATAATCAGATCAGTCATGCAAATTAATAAGTACATAAGGTCATATCCCCAAAGAAAAGAGTACAGGCTCATATCACAAGAGCTGCCAGAGAGAATGGATTTTAAAGGGAAATGAAAACTAAAGAGCCAGCCCTGACTTTGGAGTCCTTTAAAAACTATTGACATTATCTGCCACTGGGTGGATTGGCGTCTGGGAGATAGCCATTCTCTACACATCACAGCAAAGTGTGGACTACTCTGGGAAAAGGCTTTTTTTTTTTAAAATAATAAAAAAAGGCCAATATCACTGATGAACATAGACGCCAAAATCCTCACCAAAATTTTAGCAAATAGAATCCAACAACACAGAAAAAAGATTATACACCATGACCAAGTGGGGTTCATCCCAGGGACACAAGGCTGGTTCAACATACG